TTTTATATGTTACATGCATATGAATAAAAAATTAATACATTGATAAATGTATATATTTTTGTCAATGTTAAGCAATACTTTAGTCTATAATAAAAAAAATCATCGATTCGATATCGATTCGACGTCGATTCTATTAACATTTCTCGCTGGGATATTAGTTCATATTAGTTTCTTTTTTTTGTAAAATTTCTGTTTGATACAAAAAAATAATATAATAGTAATAAGAAGATGAAAAATAATTGAAAGGATAATTTTCGCATTTTTTTTTTTTATACAAGAAGTTAAGTTAACTTTGAAGAAAAAAATTGCCTATATATAATCAGATATATTTATGGCTAAAAATATATATATGATTATATATGTATACAACATATTTTTGCGGTTTTTACATCTATGATGATTGGTTGGCTGAATATTTCAGTGTAATTAAGAAAAACAGATGTTCTTAAATGTAAAAATAAAATTCTTAGGATTTGTTTTTACAAATTGCATAGTTTAAATAAAAATGAATATATTCACGATAATATTATGTCATTTTATATGTTCGTAGCTTCTTATAACTATTTTACATTTTTCTCTTTCTAGCTGTCGGTAATACAGATTATATCTTTTATGCATTGCTCCGAACTATGGACATAGCATAGAATCGAACCAAAAACCATGAGACGTAACATGAAACAGAACCAAATACTGTGTACACAGCAGTTATCCATCGAAAATACTCATAGGCATGACTACGTAGTTCAATGTGCACATTTTGTGCACATAAACACATTAGTTGTCAGCTTTTAGCAGTTTTCAGCCAGTTCCAACTGAAAATGCGGGCATGGTGATTTTTAGATTTCTCCTTGCTCGAATTGACCCAGTCCGATCTGTCCTAACCTTACGGTCGGAATTTGTCATCCGCACGGTGGAATATCGTTCGTCGTCCGGATAATTCTGATCGCAATTAGTCATTTTTGATTTTGGCGTGGGGTTTCGACGTTGAGCGATGTCGTCGCAACGCGGGTGATCGACGAAGTGACGAAGTGAGGTGACACGCATAGCATCGCAAAAATCTCTGTCCATCGAGAGTTATGACACTTTGACCGCTGTTTTTTGGTATGTATATATGTCGAGAATTCTGAATCGTATTTTATCACGGCTCTTTGCCACTGTACATTCGTATGACTGATCTCGAAGTATGATAATGCAGCAAATACACTTCTTGAATGATGCATATATATATATATATATATATATATATATACTGTACTTCGAATTTACCTTAAGGGTGCACTTCTAACATACGGACTCTAGAGAACATTGTGACATTTCATGTCCGTTTTCTACTTGATTTATTTTAATTGATTAATTTTAGTCTTTGTTTAATGTATCCTTTTCTTCGAATGAAAAAGATGAAAAGCAATTTAAACCAAAAATAATATTATATATTATTCTACTTTGGTATTCTACTTTGGTAGAAGTAGACATAAGATATGTTAAAGATGTCATCTTTATTTGTCCAATGTAGATTAATTTTAATCTCAATTTAATATATCTTTATTTTTTCTAATTCGCGAAACTAAAAAAGTATGCTAAAGTTAATTTATGTTGATAGAAATGAATAATAGTATTTTAAAAAAATCTTAAGGACATATCTGAAACATTTTTGTAAACAATTATGATTGAAATAGACATATCGAACATTCCTAATAATTCATTTCTAATATGCATTTTTCAGTATTATTAATATATTTTGGAATATGTTTTTATATTGTTTTTATATTTTTATATAATAATCTTAAGTTACAATGAAAAAAATTTACTCTGATTGTATTATAGGAAGAGATTGAGTGATACTTGAGAATATATGTTTACTCGAAACAATGATGGAGTTGAGTCATAGTCTGACCCTCAACGAGGATGCCCTTAATCAAATCCCAGAGGCTAAGCGGCCAGTTTTTATTTTTGAATGGTTACGCTTTTTAGACAAAGTTCTGATTGCTGCTCAAAAGGTATTGATCTAATTTTTATTTTCATCAATTAGAATAATTTTGATTTGATTTTTTTTTCTTCTTTGTTTCTTTCTAATTCTAAGAATTAAACAAAGATAAAATCTAAATTAAAACAAAATTAAGATTAATAAATATTAGTAAAAATAAATTTATAATAATCTGATTAATTTTGTAACCAAGAAGGTAAAATTTGTATTGTAATACAATAAATTTTTAATTGCGATGATTTATGTTCGCAGAGTGATATTAAAGGATGTCAACAAAAATTAGTGGAGCAATTGACCAGACATATGCAAGGAGCTCCTGGTCCACCCACTCGGCGTCTTATCGCAAGATGTCTAGCTACTTTGTTCAGTGTGGGTGATACATTCCTGCTCTTTGATACTGTCAATAAATGCAATGATATCTTGAGGAATAAGGATGATTCACCAAGCTTCCTGCCCACAAAACTGTAAATTGATTGCTATTGATTGAAGTTTTTGTTCAAGAGATAT